CTAACTGTTCTTTTTTATTTCCTTTATTTGGAACACATCAAATCTTTAGAATTAAGGAGCTCCCGGTTCAAGAAACAGAAGCAACTTCTTGATGCGATTCATGGCCTATCGCAGCCACGAAACGCCCTCTGCATGACCTGAAGTAACAGTCTGCGTCCTCTCCTGCAGCCTAGAACGAAAGCTCTCTGGTTAGTGCTGGGTCATCGATAACAATAAATAAATAGATAAATAAAAGAAGATCAAATAAATGATAAAAGAAAAGAAAAGAAAGAAGGAAAGGAAGGAAGGAAGAAGAAAGTAACTGGAGGGTGAATAACACAAGCAGTAGATATTTCTACATACTGAAGAATGAGCATGCATTACTAACAAAAGATAAAGAAAGAAAGAAAGAATACAAAATTATACCTAGGAAAATGAGAACTATACTCTTGTCCAGTTTTAGGAAAAGGTGTGTTTTGAGGACGTGATATTGGCGGAAACATATATTATTTGAAAAAAGAAAATTTTAAAAATCAGAAGTACAAAACACGTGTAATCATTCGTATGAATTATCAGCTGATGGAAAAAGAAAGAAAAAAAGTTTTCATTTCCTGAAATTGAACGCACTTAGATGTAGAGAACACGTGATAAAATCCAGCCAACTGTACCTTTCTTACATGGCAACCTTGTAGTGGTAGTTGTCTCGGTGGTCGTTGTGGTCGTACTAGCAGTGGTTGTAGTGCCAGTAAAGCCCTCAGTATAAGTTGTACCTTCAGTTGTTGTAGTGATTGTAATGCCCTCAGTATAAGTTGTACCGTTAGTTGTTGTACTTGTGATGCCCTCAGTATAAGTTGTACCGTTAGTTGTTGTACTTGTGATGCCCTCAGTATAAGTTGTACCGTTAGTTGTACTTGTGATGCCCTCAGTATAAGGGGTACTGTCAGTTGTTGTACGTGTGATGCCCTCAGTATAAGGGGTACTGTTAGTTGTTGTACTTGAAATGGCCTCAGTATAAGGGGTACTGCCAGTTGTTGTAGTAATTGTACTTCCCTCACTATAAGGGGTAATGTCAGTTGTAGTTGTAATGGCCTCAGTATAAGGGGTTCTGTCAGTTGTTGTACGTGTGATGCCCTCAGTATAAGGGGTACTGTCAGTTGTTGTAGTGGTTGTAATGCCCTCAGTATAGGGGGTACTGTTAGTTGTTGTAGTGGTTGTAAGGGGTACTGTCAGTTGTTGTAGTGGTTGTAATACCCTCAGTGAAAGTCGTACTGTCAATCGTTGTAGTGTCCGCAGCAATTGTCGTGGCAGCTGTGGTCGTAGGGTCGGCAGCAGTTGTCGTGGCAGGAGCTGTGGTTGTAGTGTCCTCAACAGTTGTCATGACAGGAGCTGTGGTTGTAGTGTCCTCAACAGTTGTCAGCAGTGTCCTCAGTAAGGAGCTGTGGTTGTAGTGTCATCAGCAGTTGTCGTGGCAGGAGCTGTGGTTGTAGTGTCCACAGCAGTTGTAGTGACAGGAGCTGTGGTTGTAGTGTCCTCAGCAGTTGTCATGGCAGCAGCTGTGGTTGTAGTGTCCTCAACAGTTGTTGTGGCAGGAGCTGTGGTTGTAGTGTCCTCAGCAGTTGTCATGGCAGGAGCTGTGGTTGTAGTGTCCTCAGCAGTTGTCATGGCAGCAGCTGTGGTTGTAGTGTCCTCAGCAGTTGTCATGGCAGCAGCTGTGTTGTAGTGTCCTCAGCAGTTGTCATGGCAGCAGCTGTGGTTGTAGTGTCCTCAGCAGTTGTTGTGGCAGCAGCTGTGGTTGTAGTGTCCGCAGCAGTTGTCGTGGCAGGAGCTGTGGTTGTAGTGTCCTCAGCAGTTGTCATGGTAGCAGCTGTGGTTGTAGTGTCCTCAACAGTTGTCGTGGCAGGAGCTGTGGTTGTAGTGTCCTCAGCAGTTGTTGTGGCAGCAGCTGTGGTTGTAGTGTCCTCAGCAGTTGTCATGGCAGCAGCTGTGGTTGTAGTGTCCTCAGCAGTTGTCATGGCAGCAGCTGTGGTTGTAGTGTCCTCAGCAGTTGTCATGGCAGCAGCTGTGTTGTAGTGTCCTCAGTTGTCGTGGCAGTCTCAGCAGTTGTCAGGAGCTGTGGTTGTAGTGTCCTCAGCAGTTGTCGTGGCAGGAGCTGTGGTTGTAGTGTCCTCAGCAGTTGTCATGGCAGCAGCTGTGGTTGTAGTGTCCTCAACAGTTGTCGTGGCAGCAGCTGTGGTTGTAGTGTCCTCAACAGTTGTCGTGGCAGGAGCTGTGGTTGTAGTGTCCTCAGCAGTTGTGGCAGGAGCTGTGGTTGTAGTGTCCTCAGCAGTTGTCGTGGCAGGAGCTGTGGTTGTAGTGTCCTCAGCAGTTGTCGTGGCAGGAGCTGTGGTTGTAGTGTCCTCAGCAGTTGTCGTGTGTGGTTGTAGTGTCCTCAGCAGTTGTGTGGCAGCTGTGGTTTGTAGTGTCCTCAGCAGTTGTTGTGGCAGCAGTGTGGTTGTAGTGTCCTCAGCAGTTTGTGGCAGCA